TAACTCTTATGCCCTTTACTTTCAAATTGGTCGTCAAGCTTAATCGTTGTCCGATAACTCGCCCATGAATTGGTAGGCTTGCTCTCATTCCCGTATCAGATCCGCCCGTTTATTTCCAAATCCATTCTATTTCCGGTTCATCCACTAGCCTGGTGAGTGTTATATAAACTACAAGCATTCGTAACGCCCTCATCGATAACTCGTTGACCCAAATAGCAAGGTACGCCCCGGAGCCCCACAAGCAGATTTGTACATCTCTGACAGCGCTAACCTGCCAATACCCAGATGTGAACCCTAACTCTGTTGGCGAATCAGCAGGTTTAGCACAGCTTTGCGCCACACCGTGAACTCCATTGCGGTGATTGGGCAGCTCTACGCACCAGGTCAACGGGCCCGAGGCTCATGGACTCCGCCTGAGAGTTTAGGTAACTTACCCCGTCGCCATTCCGTGACTTCGTTTGCCTTTCAAGGACCCCGTTACAACATCCATTACGAGAGGCCACGGCGACGTTTTCCTTTTGCTCTTTATCAGATGATACTCATCACTGTTTGCAATTGTGGGGTGTTACTTGGAGGACTAGATGTCAGCTTGGATATCCCCGCTGGAAGGATCTAGACTCGGGGCCCGTTACGATTGGCCCTGAACTGGCAGTTCTCAAACGTCCGAATGAAAGGGTGTTGCTGAACCTTCAGTGTCTGGTGGACAAAACTTTCCCCGTCTGGATTGGATTTCACATACATTCTTGTCAGTTCTGTTCACTTGGTACGCTCGACATGAATGTCTGCCCTAAGGAGGGTTAATTGCGTTCTGTTCTAGAAAACCTTCGCGTATTCTATTCTATTGTATATGCTCGCTGGCATTATAGCCTAAAATGCAGACAGAGCGCATATCTATGGTCGAAGAACCTTCCATACATTCACCGGACATCGAAGGTTCAAAGCCATCATGGTGACCTTCTTAATTAGGCTTTGCCGATCAGTGATGGGCTGATCACTGGACTGATCGGTCCCGACAAGCTTTTCATGTCCCGAACCAAGTTAATCCTCCAAGTCCGATACATTGCATCCCCAGTCTGTTTGACCATGTACACTCGAACCAATAGTATCGCTAACTACACTGTTTGTCCACTCTAGAACGTTTACACATTATTTTTGGGTCCGCTTTTTCTCAGCGTCGCGACCTATCGCAGCTAGATTTTGTCGAACCCCATCAGGGGGATGCTACCATGTGGTGTTCAAGATCACGTTCAACCAATCATGATCGGCTCCAACGATTGGCCGGGGCGTCGACCCCGCCTTCGCCCACGTCCAGTAGATCACTTGGAGACCTCATCATGTCTATTTCGTGCCTTGCTTTGGTGTTGGTAAACTTCCTTCCTAGAAGCATCAATGGAATTAAGGTCTAAAAGTGTCAGAAGACTTCAATTGAGTTCCGCATTACACTCACATTACCCTCTCATCGACCCCACCATTTCTCTGCACAGTCGATCATGTTCGGGCCAAGCGTTTTAGCCATCCCCAACTTCATTAACTGTGGGGTCACGAACATAATTTTCAGGTTCTCACACACCCGAAACATCAGACAATGTCATCAATTTAAGTCTTCGACATATTTCTCTTGAGAGACTTGTCTGCTCATGTGCTTTCGCTGCCACGCTGTGAGTGCCTTTCTCTACAGCAACTGAGAAAATCAACTGACAGCTCCCGTTCCCATGTTATACTAACACAATTTCTGACGCCGCTCTATCTCTCAAGAGCATTCTCGTATAAATAACGAGACCGGACGTCGCTCGAGAGCTGTGACACCCTTTGCTGCAGGCTTCAGCCGTCCCTCATCACCCCAGTTACGACTCACGGTTTCACGCACACACGACCCCCACAATGTTGTCTTCCGTACTCCTCCTCCCCTATCTTGCTAGCTTCGCCTACGCCTTCGCTGTACCGAGGGCCCCTATACCCGTACCCGTCGAGGTTGAAGTCCGAGCTGACACAGTGACCACACTCACATCGACCCAACTTGCCTCTTATGCGCCATATACCCAGTTCGCTCGTGCAGCATATTGTCCGTCCAGTAAAATCAGTAACTGGGGCTGTGGAGGTACGTTCCTTGTTTCACTAAAATACTCTATCAAAATGCCTGACAAATTACGTTTCTAGAGGCTTGCAAGGCCATCCCGGGTTTCCAGCCTACATTGACAGGCGGTGATGGAAATGATGTTCAACTTTGTATGGGCCCCGTTGTTTGAATCTTCGTTATGTTGCTTACCATTATCGCAGACTTCGTTGGATATTGGCCTTCACAGAACTCTGTCGTCATTTCCCATCAGGGCACTGATCCTACACAATTGTGAGAATTCTCAATGTGCTCTTGCGGATCTCTGTGAATTAATGATATGATGCGTAGCCTCTCGGTGTTAACGGATATCGATCTCGGTCAGCAGAAGCTTGACACTAAACTATTCCCTGGTGTCCCAAGCACCCTCCAAGTTCACGGAGGGTTCGCTGATGCACACGCCGAGACCGCGAATATTGTGCTGACCGAGACCAAGAGACTGATCGCATCGAAGGGTGCGACTACCGTTACTCTGGTAAGAACGGACTGTATATCTCATGCCGTAAATGTACAACGAGGCTGATGCGTATATATAGATTGGCCATTCTTTGGGAGGAGCCATAGCGGAGTTGGATGCGCTGTTTATGAAGCTAAACCTTCCTTCAGATATCCATATCAAAGCAGTCACATACGGTACTCCGCGAGTTGGGAACCCAGCCTTCGCTACTTATTTCGATTCTCAGGTGCGCAATCTGCTGGCTTCCATTCCAGTTATTTTAAAGCTCAGCTCCTTCATTTTTTTTCAGGTACCTGATTTCCAAAGGGTCAACAACGAAAAAGATCCAATCCCGATTGTACCTGGGAGGAGCCTAGGCTTCCAGCACCCACAAGGAGAAATACATATCGTCTCTCCGAATAATGCCGTCTCATGCCCAGGCAACGATGCCACAAGTGCCTCTTGTACGATCGCCACCGTCCCGAACATTCTTGTGGGGAACATTCTCAACCATCTGGGTCCCTATCAAGGTATCCCGATTGGTACATTATTCTGTTATTAGGGTTTTAAAGCGTATCAAGACGCATGTTGTTGTATTTATAATTTATGTATGTAATGATATCCAGTGTACGGTATTCAACTGCAGCCGGCAATTTCCATATATGGGGGTCAGTGGTTGAATTTGTGGCACTCCCATTCTTGTTCCTCAACGTTCAACTCCGTCCGACTTCTTGGCATATCCTCGTCCTGTTTCGGCGAACGACACAACATATCCAATGGCCCACAAACGTTCTTCGTCTCGAATGCATGCTGCGGGCTCAGCAGGTACAGAAGAAACCGGTCCGCACGGCTCCCAACTGGTTGCTTCGTCGTCGTTTGTGCTTCCATCCTACAGCACGCCGGATATGAACGTCGTTAGCACGTCTACATCAAGCTCAAACTTCACATTCTCGCACTCAAACAGCCTGCCGAGCATGCCTGATATGAGCTCTTCTAGTTCCCGCTCTTCCACATCATTATCTTCTAGCTCTACCTCCAGCTTGAGCTCGTTCAGTTCCTCCATTAGCGCAAACGCCATCTATCAAATTGCCCAAGGTGTTTCAGAGAAGACTGATCCCGTTCATTCTTGGGACAACACAAAGACTGGAAGTCGAAGGGAATCAAACACTGGTCTCTTAGTGTCCACCGCGGACCGTGACAGCCCTGGTTCAACACTCACAAACTTACAAAGGAGGTTCCATCCACGACTGTTCGCTTCTTACGTTCGTCGCTCTCTTCCTCATTCGACATGGGATCGCCTCGTTCTTGTCATCTTTCTGGTGTACTTTACCGTGCTGTTGAGAGCCATGGCAGGCTATGGAGGGTCGTCGTCGCACTTCCCTGGATGTACTCGATCCCCCTCGGTCCTAACACCAACCCCTTCGAATGGAGAATCCCTCACTCTCGGGACAGTTCATTCCGACATTACTCTTAACTCCACGAGTAGACTTCCTACGCCCCTTGAAACGGACTTGAACGGGACCGCAATTCATAATCCCATTACTCTCCCTCAAAGTCCTCTTCTCGCTGAAGATCTAGTCATAGACTCAAGTCTCCTGTTAAAGGGACCTTCGCCCTTGGATAACTTGTCAGCTTCTCACAATCATGGTCCTTGTTCTTGCAACTGTGCCGAAGAAGCACCTCCCGTCGAGTACGCAAACCAAACAGAGGGAGAGGACTAATGCAGTGAAGGCGTAGATAGGCGTGTGCCACGGGATCGATTGGGAACTGGGATATACTTACATCACTACGCTACACTGTATAAAACTGTTGCAGATCTTATTGTTAAATGTATGATATATCGTTTCTTGTCGGGGTGGTTAATGCAGTGATGCAAGGTCAGATGAATAGTCGCCAAAGTCAGGTTACGTGACTTTGTGAATATTCAGGATAAGTCACAGGTTAAAGTCCTGCCTTGACTTATCGGAGCGACAACCTGCTTTGATTGGCTACTGGTGAGGACTAGACGCCGAAGTACGTGACAGCCGCCTAGCTCAAAAAGGCTAGAAGTCATGCTTATATAATATGGACAATTCGACGGAAATGATCTTGACTGACTTTCAGACTTTGGATATCTAATCTCTTATCAGTGGGAAAGTACCTCTATATTGAGATAAGTCGGATAAGTTATGGTCATTTCCCACGAGTAAAGCTAGGCGGATGAATAGTCAGTGACTGTGACCGCAAGTCACTGACTTAGACATCACTGGGTTAATGCATCTCTATCCTTCCGAATATACAGACATTTGTTAACCTTGACGAGACTTTGTGATCGAGTAGTTTGGAGTCAGATCGACATCCTGATATGAAGCATTGTCTATCTATTCGGTATACTAGAAATAAAATGTAATCTGGATATCTATAATATATAATATATTAAAAATTTAATCCAAACTAAAGATCCAACGCCAATTCGGATACGGGGAATTGAACCCCGGGCTATCGCGTTATGGGATACATGAGTATCCAATGAGAGGCGATAATGTTAGCCACTACACCATATCCGACATGCATTATACTTATACTTTATTATATTGACCTAGCGTGCGCAAGATTCATTGCTCTTAGACGAGCTCTTACATGTCGTATACTCGAAAGCTCATGATGTACAAAAAGTATGTTAACCCCTCCGATATCTACGTCCCACCAGGCCACTCCACCACCCATTGTGCAGACACCGTATGCTCCTGATCGTCGTCGTCTTCAAATTTCAGTTTATACACAGGCCCTTGCCGTGTTGAAGCATTCTGGAAGCATATTGGGATTAGCATGCATACATGTGAGTAGAAGACCTATACTAACGCGACCAGTAGCTTGCACATCTTTTGGACTTGTGATTACTTCTGCTCGATAGAAGCAGCTGGTGTCTGGATATAATGCCATCACCGTGGAGCGCGCTGGGAACTCAGGATACGCGTTTAGATGTGAGGGGCTATCCGGCGGCGCGTCTGGATCCGGGAGAGGGATTATAGCTCTTAGAGTTGTGTTATAGCACCTATTAATAGGCAGTAAGCACAAGGACACAAACCAAGACATTTTTGAATTACTTACTGCCCAGGGGAACCGTCTTCCTGTGGCTCAGGATCTTGGACTTCGTATCTATGGGATAAAACGTAATTTGAATACGAACAATGATAGACAAACATCTTCTGATAGAAAAGAAAGAAACCAACCGATTTTTGTCTTGATTGATGCAACGGTTGACGACGGCAAGTATCCATTCTTCTGAATCCTTACCTCCGCTGCTGGTATCTCCTGCCTTCGGTGGGTGGAAAGCGACTTTCCGTTTTTCCCGTAGAGGGAGCTGCCTATTAAGAGCTTCCCTCCGCGCTTTGGGATCACGAGAGAATGGTACCTGTGAAGGGCCAACTGAGTTACGGGGTGGTAGAGTGATTGAGCCCGGTCGTGACGGCACTGGGGTCGGAGGTGTGACTGTAGGCGGCGGTGAAGAGCCGCGAGGTCGTTTCTGTCGCTTCTCTGATACTCTCATTGTCAGTAGACCCTAGAGATAGATACGGAAATATGTTACCTGGGGGTTGTTCTTCTGAAGCTCGACGTAACGCAATTAGTACATCCAGACGCTCAATGGCGTCCTCAGCCATCCTATATCGTTCATATTAGTATTTGATGGTTTTCAATAGGAGTGTGATCAGCAAGACTGAGATACCGACTTCGCGTCCCGCTCAGCATTCGCTTTGATCTCGTTTAGTCCCTTATTTAGCTTGGTATAGATGTTTTTGAGACTCTCAAAGCCTTCAGAAGGCATTGTGTCGTCGGTAGGCCACGCAGACAAGAGGCGGTTCACTCTGCCAACGACGTCATTGGTCTCTGGGCTCGAGACCTGCGACGACAATTTCGACAGTACGGTCGCAGCGTCGGTCCAGATGTTGACCTCTAGGCCACATGGTGAGCGCGTTGTAATGGAAACAAAAAAAATGGCACAAATATACCCTCTGAGGTCGCGGGACGTTTCGATGTCCCACGTCTACTTGCCATGTGTTCTTTGTAGTCGTTAATGTATATGGATGTTGAAGTTAGATCCTAAGTATTACCGCTAGAGTCGAACTTGTGTACTTCAGACTTGACCGGAGAGGCGAAGCGCGACCGCGCGATGCCGAAGAAATTGTTGCCATAAAAGGAGAGTGTTGTGTTCCGCGAGCGATCGGTTAGCGTCGGTTAGCGAAACGCGGTTTTTATCTCATTTTACAATCTTCAGCAAATCTTCAGTCTCGGTTGGGTGATGCGCATGCTCTAGCAATACTACATTTTCAAACCGACTGCTGATTAGTTTTTCTTTTGGACACTAGCATTCTATATAGATGAGTGCTCCCATGGAAGGACCGGTGGAGTTTGAGTTCGGTGTACACAATAAGACTAACGTACGACATTAGTATGCGCTAACTCCAAACACTTTCCTACGGGAGTGTCAATGCTGATCTCGCCATGAGATCTCCATTAAGCTGTCCAGCACAATCAATAGCTTCGATGACACCAAGTCATTTGCAAAGTTCATTCGACGGTGTTCAAGATGAGCACTGGCAGTGCCTCCGCCATGATTCTGGGCCCGGGTTTATGTCACGGGTCGCGTAACATGTAATCCGCGCGTCCTTAGCTGGCTCAACCCTGAAGCTCAAGCGGCATCATTTATAAAATCTTTCGAATGTTACACCTTCTCAGCGTCAATACCCCCTTTAGCGGTGTGCTATATATCCTTGCAACGAGGCTTGGGCATGATCCCCGTCCGCTCTCAGTCGTAACTAAGACCTGTAGCTCAAAATGGGTGCATATGATAAGACTATTGGTGAGTTAATCATATTGGCTGCGTAATATAATGAATTTATATGAATTGTATTGTGATCGTCAGGTACTTTGATGATTGGTATTGTCTGTAAGCCACTCGACTACCGATCGTATTAAAAGGTCGTATGTTAACTTGTAGCGTTGGATAGTCAATACCTATCTTTTTGGGTTGGTGACATTCCAATTCGCGAAGTATTACCGGACCAGTAAGTCTCAGTTTGTAATCGTACTCGATGGTATACCAAAGTTTGTTTTCAGAATTCAATGATCCCCCTGCAATTAAGTATGTTGATATAGCTTCTGTTTTCTAACGATGATACTAACGACACTCTAGACTCATGGTCCTCTTCCTCTTCATTCTCGACACGGTCCACAGCGCATCGTACGTTCCCTCATTATCAACACCCTGTCTATCGTCTGACTTTCCACAGGGTCATTTTCATGCTTTGGGACTACGTGTATGTATCAAACCTCCCCGAAGCTGTAGTTCTATCTCAACTGACCGAAAACTTAGCGTTACAAACTACGCCAACCCTGAAGCACTTAGTAGTACGTATCCCCAAGACCGCCCCAGTTCTCATCGCTAACAATTCTTCTCACAGTTGGCGGCTGGCCGTTATTGTTCACACCTTGCGCGACGGCAATGGCTGCGATTTGCACTCAAGCTTTCCTAGGCTACCGGTAACTATTATTATCTTCCTACCGCCGAACGAGCGTCGCTCATCGATGGTGATAGCATCTACCGTCTAACTGGAAGCAAGATTCTTTATGGGATTATTTTGACTATCTCAATCCCTGCCTTTGTCGTTGGAATGGTTGTGGGAGCTGAAGCAATCGTTATTTCCATGTAAGTCCCCTTCCGTTCTTGACATACACCGACAGACATTCAGAGCGCTATCTTTAGACTTGCCGACCTGCCAAAGATCAATAATCCTGTCATCGCCTGGCTCTCTATGCAAGTGGCTGCTGATGTAATGATTACAGGTGGGTCTTCCATATCACCTCTTACGCAATTCTACATTGATTGACGGGAACGATGATTGCTTCTGCGAATAGCGCACAATATAGTTGTCCTTACTACCATCTTTGCGCGGTCCAAGACGGGAATTCGACGAACGGACACTGTCCTCAATCGTCTGATCCGTGGTACAATCCAAACCGGCCTCTTTGCTAGTATTTTCTCTCTCGGAGATTTGATAACCTTCCTCACTTTACCTGACACAAATTTGTATGGCATGTTTGCCATCCCCATTGGTCGTATCTACACCAACGTCAGTATTATTCTATCGTTTCTAAATGGGAGAAAGCTTATGTGGTTTCATTCTAGACACTCCTTGACACCCTACTTACCCGAGATGCACTTCGAACTGAACTCGACGCCGAAACAGACGCCACTTCCACAACAGTGAGTTTTTTCTGTGTTTCTCCGTTACTAGGGCTGCCTCATACCTGTTTTCTTTTTGTAGCTCGAAGGCAGCGACCGTAGCACTATGCGCTGGGCCAACAAGAAAGTAGCCAACACGACCACCGGTATCTCACTCGGCGATATCAACATCACTCGCACCACCAACGTCACCTTCCAAAATGCGGACGGCTCAAAATCTGGACACCAAGAAGAGCAGGAAGATGTTGATGATAACTCGGTGAAGACACTCAAGAAAGGTCCTGTTGCCGATGAGGCTGTATAGGTTGCACTTTCCCCTTGAATCTAATCGGTTTTACAAAAATTTGCGCATAGCCTCGGCTGCGCAAATGTATGTCTTGCTCTTGACATGGAGCATCGATTGTTGTGTTTGTTGTCAATCGGGTTTGTTAAACAACCCGTCTTGCTATCGTTATACCTCCCCGCTTGAACCTGCAAGTCTTGCTATGATACACCCTTTTGCAACATGTGGATAGTTTTTCTCTCTCTTCAAGTTGTCAAATGCTCTCTCTTACCTACTAATGTACTCATTCTCAAGGTCCCAAAGATTCCCTGTTATCGCTCATTTCTCGTTCCGATCATATTCACGATGTTTCAGGTTCCCTTCTTCATATGCATAGATTTTGTTTTGTCAATTCTTTTGGTTTCGGATGTCACGTTCATACATACATATGTACATTACAATCTGGCTGTTTGCACAATGATAGGTCTCACCTTCTGCATTACTTGTATGAAGTCGAGTGGGTCGGGGATCCTGAGCTTCGTCCCAGAACACGCCCGAGTCGACTCGGATCTCGATCATGATCAAGTCGCAACATGCCGCGCTTTCTTTCAGCCACGTATTGCAGTGACGTAGACAATTGCACTCACGTTTTGCCTTTCAAGTTCTCGACCTGGTCATCTCGTGTTCAGCCATCCTATGCTTTCTTTCTGAACCCATCAACGTTCAACACATACTTGAACACCATCTCTGAGCCCTTCCCCGAGACAGCCACCTTGCGGTACATTTCACCTTGAAAGATGCCAGTCGGAATCGAAGCTTGGGTTGGACAAATCCCACCTATTACTAGGGCGTGGTTAGCCCTCTCGGTACTTACAAGTGTAGCTGTTGTGAGTGAGTTGTTTCCCTCAATCATTCTGTGAAACGTTTCCTCACAACTATGTGGTGTGTTGGTGTAGCAATGTCAGCTGGTGACACCGCTGCAGCTATATTTTAGCCATAAGTCTGCGTTTGATAACTTTCAGGTGAGTTCTATAGAGTCTATGAAGGGTTAGTAGGTGTTA